GACAATTGAGTTGTCATTTCCTGTCAAACCCAGAGCTGGGCGCAGGATGTCTGGGGGTGTAGTAGAGGGGCCTAGGGTTCAGCTAGTGGAACAGGGGCCACTTTAGGATCGCCCCTGCCAGAAAGTCGCTTGACTGCCGCATTCAGGAAGCTGCAGAAACCATCCTCCAGGGTAGTTCGTGAAGATCAACCAGTATCCGACTCATCCCCAGCCTCTCACTTCTAATCCATTAGTACACAGCCCTAGGAACAAAGATGCTAGGACTTGGCAGGGCTGAAGCACAACTTGCCGTAAAAAGAGTAGGGGTTAAGAAAAAAAAACAGAAGGCCGCCACGGTTGGCTCACGCCTGTATCCTAGCTTCTCTGGGAGGGACCCGAGGCGGGCGGGATTGCTTGCAGTCAGGAGGTGTCCGATAACCCAGCCTGAGCAAGAGCCGAGGACCCCCGTCTCCTAACATAAATAGAACGAGAAATTAATTGGCCAAATAATATATCAAGAAAAAAAATAAACCGGGCATGGGGCCATGCCTGTAGTCCAGCCACTTGGTGAGACTGAGGCAGCAGGACTTGGCTTGAGCCCAGGAGTTGTGAGTTTGCTGTGACGCTAGGACTGACACCAGACCGGCAACTCAATCTAGCCTAGGCAGACAAAGCTTAGGTCTGGAATTAGGCTTATATCCAGTGTGCAAGAGTGAGACTCTAAAAAAAAAAAAAAAAAAAAAGAAGAGCAAGGGTTAAGGATGGCAGTGTCAGAACACTTGTAAAAACTGTGTATTGTATGCAAATAGTTTTTAAATGAGTTTTTTCTTGAGACCACCTGTGTTGGGTCTCTGGTGGAAGTCAAGCAGATGGAGAATGGGAAAGAAGGCAAGCTGTGGCCCCCACAAAACTTCAGAGCCTAATTTGTTTCATAAAGGTCCTAGTCAGCCATTACTTTGGGTCTTTTTTATTTTTTTAAACGGGGCTTGCTTCTTGGTGTTGGAGGTAGTCACTAATACCTCCTTCCTGGTTCCAGGGGTATTGTTAGACATTAACCTAAGCCAAAGTGGGAGATATGGAGGAAGGTAAAAGGGCCAAAAAGGAAAAAGCCATATGGGGGTGGAGGAGGGCAGAGCCAACACCTGAGGAGAGGCATCTGCTGCCAATCTCTCCCAGGCTGTAGGGGAAACAAGTTTAACAGGACTTAGCCCTGAAGGAACAACTGTTGGTGAAAGGAACGGGGGAGGGAGAACATTTGAGCTCGTCTGAAGAATAGGGAGGCACGGGGCAGGGCAGGCCTACAAAGGGAGTGACCATACAGGCGCGGATTATTGGCAAGTGGCCCCGCTTTAGATCCCTAGCGGTTGGACGAGGTTAATTAGAATACTAAGTAGATCCGCCCAGAAGCCTTCACCCTGCCCTTTGACCCTAGGGCCCAGCCCGAGGAGGATCCGCGTGTGGAAGGCCAGAGCGAGAAGTGATCTGGGCCCTCGTCACTTCGCTGCCAAATTCCCGGCGCCGCCCAGAGGCTGAGCTAGGCCAGGGCCGTCCGCCCAATCCAGCCCGCCGCCTCTTCGGCCATGGAAGCTACCGGCAACCCCGAGGCTGCGGGGACAGGTGACCGACCCACAGCGCCTTCGCCATGCACTCCCCTCTCGCGGGTCTCTGTCCGGAGAGTTGAGCTTGGCGGCCGAGGGCAATCGGCACGCGAATTCGACCTCCCCACCTTCTCAGAGAGGGTTATTGGGGCCTTCTATTCGCCACCAGCAACATTCGTGCGCCCTAGTGCGTTCCTGGAATTTGCCTGCCCCGTGTCACCAAGACGCTCTGAGAAATGGGTACAGGCCAGGGCCTGAATATTGTTTCTTTCTTCATTCGTCAGACCCCTTTCCCGCGTGCAGCTGGGCCTTGCGCCCTTTTCCCACGCAGGTCCTGGACGTACGATGCCTAGGATGAGAGGGATTGTGCCTCGGAACTTCTCTCGGCGCCCCGAGGACTGTTTTACACGCAGCAGGCACTCGATAATGGTATCGATGGCAGTAAAAAAGCCCATGGCTTTATTTTATTAACTGCTTCAGCTTTTCCCTTCTTCCTCCTCCTCCGCCCATGAAATGGTGCACTCTCCCTTTAAGACTAAAATGGTGGCTTGCTACGATTAGGACTCCACTTCCGGTGGGGAGGGGGCGGGACCCCAGCCCGTTCGCGCCGGAAGTGGTTTGCGTTTTCAAGATGGCGACTCCCTATGTAACTGACGAGACCGGCGGTGAGTGCGGGAGGCGCGGAACCGCTTCTCCCTGGGCTCTCGGGGCAGGGGTTCGGACTTGGAAAGGGGTCTGTGCCCCGCCCATCCCGGGGCCCCTCCTTTGCCCCGCCCCCCGGACCGCCTTCCTCATTCATTCTCTCCTACGGGGTGTCTCCTGCGCCCCCTTCTGGCCTTGTGTTTGGGGGTCTCTGCTTCCGGTCACCCAAACCCTGGGGTCCTTCAATGCTGGTCCCTGCTCTAGGACCTTTACGGGCCCTTAGTTTTTCTTCAGCAGTTGGAGCTCCCATATCTCTTTTGGATTATTCAGCCCTGGGGGCTTCTACACTTTCAATTCCCTCCAATTCCTGCTCTTCTCCCCTCCCCCATCTCTTAGCTATACCTTCCTTCTGCCCTACCCCAGCCCCGTTTTCATTCTTTTTCTCGAAGATGTATTTGCTCAAGGCCTCCTCATTGCTACATAGCGCTTTTTCCATTCTCTCCCTCATCTTCGTTTGTGGGGTCAGTGAGATCCAGAAGTGTGAAGGAAAGAGGTGCCTAATACAACTTTCAGGTTAAGTTTTCTCCTTGATGGTGCTACCCTCATCTACCTTCTCCGATGATGGCGGTAGGGATTTAAGGGTCACAGGTGGAAGAAGGCAAACAGGAAGCTGTCTAGTGGCATTTCTCCCAGGTCTTTTGACAAGTTGATAAAACCCACTATTCCTTCTGGTAGAGAAGAATTTCCAGCTTTGCTATCTGAGGTGCTGAAGTGTCTGCTGTGTATGTGAGGTGCATGTGTAGGAAACAATCAAGGCTTTCATCTTAATTTTGGCCCTTCCTAATTGTGTCACCTGTAGAAAAATGTGCATAGTAGTAATATGTAGTCAGTGATGATCAAGTAAGATAATATATGTGAAAGCATGTTGTAAAATGCTGTGCAAAAATGCAAGGTGTTTCTGCATTTGTAACCCTCATTGCATGTGTGTAGTCTTCGGTAGAAGCAATATTGTGCCTGTGCCTTGGTACACACAATCTGCGGTCTGTTTTAAAATGTGCTATTTGTGCTTCTTGCTCTGTTGCTTTCCATGTTTCTTACACTTCAGCCCACCTATCTTTTGGTACCTAATGGCAACCCAGTTCTCTGCTACTTCTCCCCAACCTCACATTTCAAAGTGGTACATCTTTCCTCCTGCTTTTTACCTAGTAGGTCTTTCTTTAACTATCAACTTTTTCTTTTTTTTACTCAGCACAATAATAATGAGGATTTAACTATCACCTTTTAATGTGTGCTTTGAAAATACTTCTTAGCATCTAGTACACTTCTGTTTACTCTAAACCATTTTCTTTAACTTAATGAAAATCCAGATATTACATTTCACCCTACCCTGCCACAAAGAGATATTGTCTGTCCCCTGTGACTATATGGAAGAGAAGAAGGAATAAACTGCTTTTTTGTTTTCCTTTACTACTTCCAGATCATTGATCTACCACTATTACTCTAATCCTCATGGAAGGTATTGCCATGCAATTATAGCAGTTTCTCTAAAACTTAAGTGCCACCATCTGCTCACAAGGATCCAGACGATTGCATCGCATTTGTTCTCTCCTCTCTTTCTTGCCTTCATTCTCATTGTCTCCAGCACTTTTGGAATACTCTGATCTCATAGTTCCTCAGCATGAGATCATTGACTTTGCTTTGTGTTTTCAAACCACCTGCACATCAGAATCACTAAGACCTAGATGTCATCTATAACACTGCTTTCACTTCAGTTGCTCCCAGTCACTGACTTTAGCCTCCTTACCACTCACCTTTTTCACTACCTCAAACCCAAAGAATCAGCTTTTTGCCCTCCTTAGGTTCTCTAGTTTTTAACCTTTGCATTTCATTGAGTCTATCAGTACCTTGTGGCTACTTTTGATGCTGCCCAGCTAGACCTGTATGACCAGGCACTTTGATACTATCCTCATTGCTTTCTTTTTTTTTTTTTTTTTTGAGACAGAGTCTCACTCTGTTGCCCCGGCTAGAGTGCTATGGCATCACCCTAGCTCACAGCAACCTCTAACTAACTCCTGGGCTCAAGCAATCCTCCTGCCTCAGCCTCCCGAGTAGCTGGGACTACAGGCATGTGCCACCATGCCTGGCTAATTTTAGTTGGCCAATTAATTTCTTTATTTTTAGTAGAGATGGGGTCTTGCTCTTGCTCAGGCTGGTTCCAAACTCCTGACCTTGAGCGATCCGCCTGCCTGCCTCCGGCCTCCCAGAGTGCTGGGATTACAGCCGTGAGCCACCACACCAGGTCCCTCCTTGCTTTCTTCATTCATTTTGACCTTCTATACTAAGTAAGCACTTCTGTTATCTTGACTCATACTCATAAACTATTTTCTTGGCTTCTGCTTCTAGACCATAGGATGTTGCTAGAGAAAAGCACAGAAGATAGCTAACTTAATGTCAGCTTCTCCCAAATGATGGCTTCTCTCCAATTCTTTTTTCCTGTTTTTTTTTTTAAAAATTGGTTTTTTTACATTCTCCCATAGCTGTTTCCCTAACCTTTTTCAGCTCTCTGTGACCCTCTATTTTAATTCTCCCTCCTTTGGCAGATGACTTCACTTTCTATTTCACTGAAAAATCAAGACCTATCATTTTGTTTGTTCCTCTTCACAGCCACATTTCTTGAGTATCAGATCTATACCTGCTATTTCCATTTCCTCACTGCTTATTTGTTTCTTAAATCTTTGTAATCTTTATTTCTAGTACTGTCTTATCACTTAAGTTGCCTATGCCTTTTTCTAATTGTTTGGTGAATATCTTTCACTCTTGGATATGCTATCACACCTCAAATCCAACCTGACCAAAATCAGTATTAGTTTTTCCATCATTATTTTTGTTAAATGCAGCATTGTTCTAGCCAACCCAAGATCAACTTTTTGCATCATTTTTCTCTCTTTTAAAGATTTTAAGTAGACTTCATATTCTGGAATGGTTTTTGATTTATAGAAAAATTGAGAACATGCTACAGAGAATCCTCATATACCCTACAAATGAGGTTCCTCTATTACTAACATCTTAAATTAATATGGTATATTTTTTACAATTAATGAACCAATATTGATACATTATTATTAACTAAAGTCCATACATTATTCATTTTCCTTAGTTTTTATGTAATTTTGTGTTCTACGTTCTCATCCAAGATACTACATTACATTTAGTTCTCGTGTCTGCTTAAGCTCCTCTGGGCTGTGACAGTTTCTCAGACTTTACTTGTTTTTTATTTTTTTTTTTTTGAGACAGAATCTCGCTCTATAGCCCTGGGTAGAGTGCAGTGGTGTCATGATAGCTCACTGCAACTTGAAACTCCTGGGCTCAAGCCATCCTTCTGCCTCAGCTTCTGGAGCAGCTGATATTACGGTGCATGCTGCCATGCCTGGCTAATTTTTCATTTTTTTGTAGAGATGGGGGTCTCACTCTTGCTCTTGCTCAAGCCCGTCTCAAACTTCTGACCTCAAGTGATCTTTCCACCTTGGCCTCTCAAAGCACTCAATAAAGGGTCTTTGGGAACTATCATATTTACACATGGACCGTTCATTCTTATATCTAAGACACCACTCTCTTAATGTGAGCACTTAATATAGTATTATCATAGGTATGATCCACCGCACTCGGACTTAATTTATTTTTTGTTAGTTATAAAGTTAATTCATGTTGATTTTAGAAAATTTGGAAAATATTTTTATAATTAAAATAAAATAGGCCGGGTGTGGTGGCTCATGCCTGTAATCCTAGCACCCTGGGAGGCTGAGGAGGGCGGATAGTTTGAGCTCAGGAGTTTGAGACCAGCCTGAGCGAGAGCGAGACCCCGTCTCTACTATAAATAGAAAGAAATTAATTGGCCAACTATGCATTTACAAAATAGTTGATAAAAAAAAAATAATTGGCCAACTAAAAACATGTAGAAAAATTAGCCAGCAGAGTGGCACATGCCTGTAGTCCCAGTACTCGGGAGGCTGAGGCAGGAGGATTGCTCAGAGCCAGGGAGTTAGGGAGGTGCTGTGGCACTAGCTGACGCACGGCACTCTAGCCCGGGGAACAAGAGTGAGGACTCGTGGTCCAAAATAAGTAATAATAAATTTAAATAAAAATGATTTATCCTTAAGGATAATAGTAAACCGAGTAATTTCAAGATTAGCAAGAGATTAATGCAGTTTACTTTAGTTTTTCTTCGAATTTCTTTCTTTTTCTTTTTTATTGAGAAAGCAGTCTCGCTTTGTTTTCTCCAGGCGCTAGACCCACGTGAGTGCCGTGGCATCAGTGCTGCTCACAGCAACTTCAAACTCGCTGAAGGCTCCAGCGTTATCCTATATGCCTCCAAGACCT